CGAAATGGTGTAAAAACGCATGATCGCACTGGCCCGCCTGGTGCGTTCCAGTCTGGCTAAATTTTGGCAGAGCTAGAAATCCGAAATACCCTGGATTTTTTTTGACCGTCTGCAGTAAAAATTATTAACCTAAGCTGGAACGCATCAGGCGAGCCGGTGCGATCCTGCGTTTTTGCATCAAACTTGAAGTAATTAAGTTAACTGCATGAACGGTTGTTTCTTCACACCTACCGTGTGCGCTCAATACCATAAATCATCGTAAATTTTGCATAAAAGAAAATAAACAATTTCCGTTTAGCGGTTTAACAATTTAACAATTTTCCGTCAAAAATGTTTCACGAGGCCGTACGTGAGAAGACGCACGGCTAGGGGCTGAATTTGATAACTTTAAGTCGTACATGGACTTGGAGAATCCCCTGAAAATTTCAGCTTCCCAGCCTTGCTAGTTTTCGATTTAACCATTTCCCCGCCAAAAAATTTCACGGAGCCATACGCGAGAACACGTACGACTGGGAGCAGAATTTGATAGGTTCATTTTGTACTTATGCTAAGGACATTCCTTGAAAATTTCAGCCTCCCAGCTTTGCTAATTCCGGAGTTAGCCATTTTCCTACCAAAAAATTTCGCGAGGCCGTACGCGAGAACCGCGCTTGCCTGCGGAATGAATTTGGTAACTTTAATCCGTACACAGGTTGTGAACATTCTCTGGAAATTTCAGCTTCCCAGCTTTGCTGGTCCCCGAGTTAGCCGTTTTCCCCCGAAAAATCTCACGGGACCGCACGCGCAAGCCGCACACACCAGGACGCTGAACTTTGAATCTTTGAGTTATCTGTGGACGGGGAACATAACCTCAAAATTTCAGCTTTCTACCTTTTCTCATCCTCAAGTTGTCAATTTTCCCGCCAAAACTTTCACTCCCTCGTATGCGGAGCGTAGACTTGCGTGAGGGCTGGTGGTACCGCGGTTCTGGGGTGGCGCTTGGCCGGGGAACCTACCAGCAATATCTTGGCGCTGGGACTTGCTTGGTTGCCGAGTTGAAATACTCAAACAAACACACACACACGTAAACATACACACAGACAGGGTCGTCGCAATATGCGTTCTTGCAATTTGCACATAGGCAAAAACGCATAAAAGTGTGTTATTATATAGTGAATGACTAAACAATGAAGTAAACGTATATACTATTTCATGTCACACTTGTGACAGCGAGGCTAACGGTAGAACTTCTAGCCTGGGATCGAACACATCTTATCTCTTTCTGATTCCAACTTCTCTCTGACGTCAAAATTGCAAATGCTGCGTAAAATAAACCTACGGTTTTTCGGATTTCTAGCATTGCCAAAATTTAAACGAATGGTTTGAAAAGTCTGGAAAGGTAAAAACAATACCTTCAACTGCTCCTCCCCCCACATTTGATCGCAACGCAAAATTTCAAAAAGCACAGAGCGGTAGCAATCATGAGAAAAGGGTGAGTGGTCATGTTGCAGCAACTTGATTGAAAGATGATAACCCACAACCATCGGACCAGCTCATCCCAAGACCCACTAGAGAAGTGTGTATTGAATGAAATGAGCACCGCTGATGGCAGTGAGTGGGTTGAGTAGAGAAACAAAGATGTGGACTTTGCACTGGCCAAAAATGTAAGAGGGATTTTACGGTAAATTTCCCCGCAAACTATATTTATTTTAGCGTTGCTTCCATCACCATTCTTACAATCTATCCTGTAGCTTTATATTCGCTTCAATGCGCAGCAGCAAGCTCCCGTGCTTCAATGCAATTTACCGAACTTCCTTACATCAACACCTGACTAGCAATTGTTCTCATAAGCTTTATAAACACCGTCTCTTCTCATAAGCTTTATAATAATTGGCCAACGCACGTGCTGTCCATGCGAAGATGCTTTTAGCATAGTTCGCCGCAGTTTTTGTCGCTACCGTCATCGGTTTTTTCGGCAAATGCTTCTAGCTAAACAAATTAAGACTGGCCGCCAGAACTGTCAGGAGGCACCCACTTAAGATTTCAGCTTTCCGGCTTTCTTGGCTCCTGAGTTATTGGAAGAAAACTTTTACGGACCTGCACGTGAGCACTACGCACACCCGGGGACTGGGTTTGAGCTCATTAATACCTACTTGGATGGAGAACATCCCACTAAGTTTTCAGCATTCTAGCATCTCAGATCCCCGAGTTACGAACTTATTCGAAGAAAATTTTGGCAGGCTCGTACGCAGGTACCACGCTTACCCGGGGGCTGGGTTTGAGTTCATTAATACCTACTTGGATGGAGAAAATCCCACTAAGTTTTCAGCATTCTGGCATCTCAGATCCACGAGTTATGAACTTACCCGAAAAAAATTTTGGCGGGCCAGTGCGCGGTTCAACGCTACGCGAGAGCTGGGCTTGGGTACTTAAACATCTACTTGAACGGGGAACATCACCGCAAGATTTCACCTTTGTAGATTCTCAGATTCCCGAGTTATGAACTTACCTATAAAAAATTTGGCAGGCTCTTACGTGAGTACCTCGCAGGTAACGGCGCCCATTTCGGGGGACTGAGGCCCGCATGTGCATGTAGCTTAAGTCCTCAAAGTTCTAGCCCTGCAGCTTTTATAGATTTTGAGGTGAAAAATCGGGACAGACGCACACATAGACAACCCCTCGTCAATATGCGTTTTTGCATTGCATAGCTACAAAAAATACATAAAAACAGAGGTATAACTGTTGTGCACAGTTGCAGGCTGCAAGAGGCAAGACTGTGGAATTGTCTGCAGTCCTTGTGTAATCCAATTGGACACATTTGCTGTCAGCTTCACCTAAGTATAAGCTTCAGTAAATCTCTCCGGAATTATTTGCCCTCAGTTTCACCTAAGCATAAGCTTCAGTAAACCCTGTCGATCTTATTTGCCTTAGCCTCACCTAAGCATAAATTTCAGTAGATGCTGCCGAACTTATTTGTCATCAACTTCACCTAAGCATAAACCACATAAATGCGGAGGCTGCTTACTGAAGACGGGTTTTTGCAAGACAAATTCTACTCGCATAAGCTCAGTTTTTGTTTGCTATTGCTTTTTTTGCTTTTATTTTAATTTGCTTTTCTTTGTAGTGCCGTGTTCGTTATTTTCCTCTTTACTGCTATCTGCAGTTCCTGCTCGAAACTCCTGACTAGCACCCTTCTTCCCCTCCTGTATTTTGTCCCCAATCCCTGCCTCCAGAGCCGCATCGGGGCACCCACCATCTCCGACCAGCGTCACGGTTTATCGTCCTCAACTCTTAACCGGCAACTTCATCCCTCCTCATTATTCTGGCCTCAGTCACGCCCTCCGAGCTGTATCTGAGCAACTGCCAACCAGCACCCTCCCCTTCCCCATCCCTCCGCCCCAACCACGTCCGACCCACCCATCGACCACTCCCCCGCTCACGCGATTCAGCCGCCAGATACTGAGCAGCGCTAACCAGCGCGTCTGGCAAAGTTCCGGCGAGCGGCGCTACGAAATAGTGCTGGCAGAGATGATAGAGCAAAGCCCTGGAAAGCTCAAGCACTATCGATCATCAGTCGAGCCGAGGTTTTATGCGTTTTTTGCAGCTATGCAATGTAGGAGATGCATATTGACCGGGGATTTTCTGTGTGTCCGTGTGTGCGTCTGTACTGATTTTTCATCTCAAGACCTGTAAAAGCTACAGGGCTGAAACTTCGGGAACTTAATTACATTACATGCACGTACGGGCCCCAATACTCAAAATGAGTGCCCTTACCCGCGTTGTACCCACATACGAATTCGCCAAAGTTTTTTACGGGTAAGCTGCTAACTCGGGAACCAGATATGCTGGGGGGCTAACGTTGTCTGTCCAACTAGGTATTAATGAGCTGAAACCCACCCCCCTCCTCCTTCCCCCTCCCTCCTCCCTGTCTCTCCCTCCCCTCGGGTAAGCGTGGCATCCACGTACAGGCCTGCAAAATTTTTTTTCAGGTAAGTCGCTAACTGAAGAATTTGAAAGGTTAGAAGATTGTAATTTTGAGAGGATATACCCCGCTCAGCTAGGCCTCACTGAGCTTACACCCAGCCCCAGTGTAAACGTGGTACCCGCGTACAGGCCCGCCAAAACTTTTTTCGGGTAAATCGCTAACTCGAGAATCTGAGAAGCTAAAAGGCTGAAATCTTAAAGGGATGTTCTCCGTCCAAGTGGATATTAACCCAGCCCCCGGGTAAGCGCGACACCCACGTACGGGCCCGCCAAATTTCTTCTCGGGTAAGTCGCTAATTCGAGGAATTGAAAAGCTAGAAGACTGCAATTTCAAAATAATATTCCGCGTCCACCTAGGTCTCATCGAGCTCACACCCAGCCCCCCGGTAGACGTGGTATCCACATACAGGCCCGCCAAAATTTCTTTCGGGTAAGTCACTAGCTCGGGAACCTGAGAAGTTAGAAGACTGGATTTTCGAAGGTATGTTTCCTGACAGTCCTGGCGGCTAGTCTGAAATTCTTTTAGTGAGCAGCATCTGCCGGAAAAGCCAGTGGCGTCAGCGACAAACATCTGCCCGGAGCTGTGCAAAAAACGCATCTTCGCTAATTATTGTAATTGCCAATAGTTGTCCTCCAAGCTTGCTGCTAACACGAAAACCAATTTTCTCGAATTTGAAGCTCCTCCAATTGCCGGGGCGGTTACCCTGCAATATTGTTGCGATATGTAGGGTGCGTAGGGCGGTTTGTTTGAGGTGGCATGTGTACACTTGTAAAGTGATGTCCTGAAGAGTGGCGTCGGGGGAGGTGCGTGGGCAGGACAGGGAATCAGGGTGTCCGAGCGATGCCTGGATGGCCAGCAATGCCAGCAAGAGACCACGGTTACGACCGAAGAGGGCTGCCAGCGTGGCGAAGATGGGTCCGATGTGTTGTGTGTTTCAGTGCTCTGGTATGGTTCAGTGATAAATTGCAAGTACTAGGAAGCATAATCAATGAGTCTCTGTTTGCTAGGCTTACGAGAGAGAGAGAGACGCAAAAGCATGGCAAATGGCCGGAAATCATCGCTGTCGGAGGACGATTGGCTGTACGAGGATGCGCGCGAGACAGCAGCCACCGTGCCTGATACGCTTTCGGCTGATGGCATGAGCGAAGACAGCACTTATGAGGTAAAGCTTTCTTTGAATATTCGAAAAGATCCCTCGCACCAGCATGGACACCGTCTTTCTTACATTGTTATTTCATAGCATAGTTCTCCTCCAATTTTTCGCTGCTTTTTCAGTTGCTCGGATCAGCGCTTCACTGCCTGGTGGTCATTATTATACGGCTTAATGGACCGAAACATTTCTTACCATTATAATAAATTTTACAATATTTTGCACCTTTTATTAATTTCTTTCTTAATATTATTTGCTTTTACTTCCTCCAACATTAAAATATTTTTCTGTTCATTTTCCATATCAGCATTTTCCGGCTAAAGAGCATTGCAAATTTTTGGCCGTCCAGAGATGTCTGTAGTGTGTGTTGCGCTTCAGTGTTACCACTTTTGGACTTCGATGAGGTACTTCACCAACTAGCAGATGAGGAGGCTGCCTCTCTTTTGAGTGAGTTTACCCGTGTGTCGCTGTGTTGAAGATGTTAGCATCAGCGTTGTTTTTCTCAGATTCCTCGTTTTCCACTGGTACGTACAGCTGTATGCATCGTTCTTCGCGTCATATCTCCGAGTTGTATTTGGTTGAAGCTGAGCAATCATATTACTCAGATGCTACAGATTCGAGAACTGTTAGTTTTATAATTTTTATAAATTTCCGCATGCCGCACCATAGTTGTCTTTTTAATCAAAGGAAGAGTGCTTCTGTGGTCTTTTTTTTTTTTTTAAATTTTCCGCCTTACCCTCCTTTTAAACAGAGCAGAGGTCGCGGAGTTTGACCATACATAAATCCCATCATCGGTGCGGCTCATAAATTCGGTTCACGCAATTGGTTTATTTTTTCTGGCATTGCAAAATCACCTGTGAAGTACTGTACTGCGCTGTTTGGCTCTCTTTATTTTTCGTTTCATTTTGAACCTAATGTAACGGTGATTTCGTGGACTTTGTATTCACACACGAGATATGTGGACAGTTTGTAGAACAGCCGCAAACAGATTGATGGGAAGGGGCAGGGGAGAGGGAGGAATGAGAAAGATGTTGAAAAACTTGACCGGATTTTAAAAGCACAACTGTAAATTTGCTGAAGTGCGGAGGAGCTTCATCTGGCTTTTTCCCGCAACATAATTCACGTTCATCGCAAAAGCGAAGCAGCGATGTGCCGCAGTGTAAAAAATACATTGCTGGAGTGGTGGGAGTGCGTGCTGCTTTGACGAGGTGAAGACGGATCGTGTGAACTTTTGAGTTGCTGATTCTGTTGAAATGTTTTCAGAAGCAATTTGGTCGTGGCATCTACGGTGCGTCCGGGCTGCTACGTGATGGCGCCGCTGCAGGAGGGTGTGTACGCGCGAGCACTTGTCTCTCAAATGGATGAGGCAAAAAATTTTTATTTTAATAATTTCCAATATTTTCAACTAGTGCTTTATGACGAGTATTTATTTCTTCTATACTCTTTTACCACAAAAATGTTATCTACCTATGCCATGCCCTGGTTCTTGTATATGTATGCGTATGTATGTGTGTGTGTGTTTATGTCGGTTTGCCCGTGAATGATTGGATTCTGGAACTGAGGAAGCGGAAAAGCTTATATCCGCCTAGTCATGCATCTAAAAGAAGCTTTAATAAAAAATACGTGATTGTTTTTGTTCGGATATGCACACTCTTTTTCGGATTTATCACTACCAGGTATCAGAATTCGTGCAAAAAAATTTTACCATCCAAATTTTAGAGCACGAAACTCGTCGAAGTGTTCTATATCGATGAAGGAACCACAGCGTGGCTTAATGCGGCGTGTCTTGCGAAAATGGACGAATTTTTTTCGTTTCATCCATGGCAAGCAATATGTGTTGCACTGTTCAAAGTAGCTTGTTTCTCTTTCCATCTAGCTCAGCGTAACAGAAGCGCCTGGCCTGATGTAGTCTCAGGTGTGTGAATTCAGCTGGGGCGTTGCTTGTCTATTTACTATAGCAAAAAGCTTTTCTGCTTTATTTTTCAGTTAGAAATAAAGTGATAGTTTTGTCTTGCTTGAACTAATAACTTGCGTTCTAGAATGTTGAGTAGTTTACTTTTTTTTTTAACAGAGCCGAAAATTCATGTATTTCTGGTTTCAAAACTTTTTAGGTTAAGGAATGCCTGTATTGCAATTCGCAGTGTAAATTGGGTATTACAGATAATATGTATCCAAGCGAATTTACTCTTTTCTCTTAGAAATGCACCCAAACAATTACCTTATTCGTAGCACTTCAGAAAAAAATGTAGTAACTAAGTTCTTTAAAAAAATTAGCCAGGGATCGCTAAATGTGTGAAAAATTGATTGAGGTGAATAAGCCAAATGGGGTTCAAATTGCATCCTAACACTTTAAGTCGTCGAGAATCTTGTTTGGCTGAGGCGGTTTGACCAGATGAGCTCTAGGTTTGGATGCGCTTTTTTCTTTGGCAACTGGCTGGTACTTCATTGACTATTTCATGTTCATTTTGTTTGACGGTTTCCCTGCCCTGATTTCTATCCACTACTAGGTGAAGCCAAAACGGTCGCTGTCATGTGTTGATGGTGAACGGATCTGGTCCGCGGAAGATGTGGAAGTTTTACGAGCAATCATGAAGAACTATAAATTCGTTTGCATCGAAGCTGCACCAGGTGGCGGGCCCAGTGATGACTATCGCGTCCCTGTCAGGGTTTGTCCATTTATCATAAAGCCGCCGAAATCCTCTTATTTAGTTAGATAATATTTATTTGTATCATCGGCACTTACGGAAGATGGAAAATATATGGCGGAACAAGAGGAGAAACATTCATAATTGTGATATTCGTCCGATAGGTACGTGAATTTTATGCTGAGTGAGACAGTGGAAGCAGAATTTGCGGTCGGTAATTTCTGTTTTGTGTCTCGATAAGTTTGTCGTCAAAGTTGCACAGCTTTAACGAGGATTACATGTGATATGAACCGGATAGACCTTATAAATGAGGCACTGGCATATTTATTTCAGAAGCTGGAATTTGTCGCAGTTTTGGTGTTCAGGGGAGGATAGGTACGCTTGTCATAATGGTTTGAGTCTTAAAAAGCTGACGCCTCTTCATATCTTTGCCTTTACTTTCTTAGAGTGCTTTTTCATTGTTTTTGCTTGCCTGATGTAGCATTTTTTGTCACAGTCTTTGAAAACATGAAACGCATATTTCTCCCAGTTCGACAAGAAGCTCGTAATGCAGTCCTGAAAGTTCGCTCATAATCTTATCATTTCTGTTTATGACAAGCAATAATAATGCCAGGTAAGCAGAAGGAAAAGAGAAGGAGAGACAGCCTCCAAGTTATGAGCTGTATTCACCTATGTAAATAAACATCGATCACGATTCTCACATTTCCCACTCTCACCGCTTTGTCAGATCTATTGCCGGAAGTAAAACATTGAATATTCCGTTTACTGCATGGAAGAAAGCAATGATTCAACGAGCCATGAAACCACATGTAGCGGGTGTGAGCCAGTTACACCACATATTCTCGGGGTTTGAAATCAAGGAAAATCAACAAAGCTGTGCTTGCTAGAGCGAAAATTTGGATTGGCCGTGTGGAAATTATGGAAGCTGTTAATTGGGAAGAGTGGGTTCAATGTTTTCTGCGCGCTGATGAGCAGAAGCAGGCGAATCTGTCAAAGGCTGCTGGACTCACTTGATTATTTGTCTGAAACTGCGCTAATTCTGCGAGCTCCGAGCGAAACAGAACGGAGGGTTCTGCCGACAGTAGCATCGTTAACGAGAATGATGAGCAAAACGAAAAAGTAGGGGCTAATTGAAGTAAAATACCATGCTAGCTGTTCTGCACCCTACACTTGTCTTTGCTTGCTTTGCCCTGAATGCCTCTCGTTTTTTATTTATAGGCGAATGTATTTGGACTGAAAACTCTATCTGACGAGATTGGCACCTCCATTGTTCAGCTGTTCGTTCGCGAGCGCCATGGCAAAGTGGATCACGATCGCGCATTGTTCAGCGGCACACAGCAGAAGCTTTACGAAACACGTGTAATTTATTAGTCTTTTTTTTTATGCGTTTTGTGCTGTGTAACAGCAGTACAAAACGCATATTGTTACGGGGTTGTCTG